TGTGTGTGTGTGTGGCCAGCTCAGCCCACCAGAGGGCGGGGCTGGCTGGCATATGGTGCTGGGGGATTGAACCGCGGTCCCTGTGCTTTGCTAAGCTTAGCTTGTTCTAAGTAGGTACTTTAGACCACTGAGCCATCTCACCAGCCCATAATTCATACTTTTGTATCTTCTTTCTTCATATATAAAATACATGTAGATTAAACGGTTATACTAGATGAGCAGCTTCACAGTAGCTCTCTGTGGAAGCTGCTGCAGAGCGAGACATGCAGGCAAAATGGTACCTGTACCTCCATCCTTAAGAAACTTTAATAAAAACTCTTTTACTTTAAATGCTTTCATATTTTAAAAGTTCCTTGTAAAATTTTATTTGAGAAAAAGAAGTCTGCAACCTAAAAAAAAAGTTTCAAAACAAATTACATAGTTAATCCCTTTTAGTTCTAAAATTTTGTGTCTTGATTACTATTCTGGGCTCTCATAATGAAATACTCATGTCTTTTATTTTTGATAGTTCACTTGCTATGAGCCCTGGTGAAGAAATCTTGACCATATTACAGACAGTACCATTTGATGTAGAAGAGCTTAAGAAAGAAGAAGCTAACCTTCCTCCAGAGGATGGTATGTGATGGATCAAGATAGAGCTGGGAAGAATTAAAAAATGCCACTAAGTCAGTTAGAGGCATTTCCTGGAAGAAGCTTTCATGTGACTGTGGGATGACAAGATCATGCTTTCTTCTTTTTCAGATGACCACTGGTTAGAGCTTTCACCAGATCAGCTGGATCAGCTACTGCAGGAGGCTGCTGGCACAAGAGAATCACAACCCATTTCCAAGAAGGAGGAGGAGGAGCAGAACTATGACTTAACTCAAGTCACAGACAGCATGAAGGCTTTCATATCCAAAGTCTCAACCCACAAGGGAGCAGAGCTGCCCCGGTAATTTCTGATAGGAGAAAGTATATATTTAAATAGTTATATCCTAATATTGAAGTCACCCTGTCAATAGAAAGTTCTATTTCCAGCTCAGTGTGGTGGCACATGCCTATAATCCTGGCACTCAGGAGGCAGAGGCAGGAGGGTCATTGTGAGTTTGAGACCAGCCTGGGCTACACAGTGAGCTTAAGGCCAGCCTGAACTGCATAGCAAGACCCTGTCTCAAAAAGACCCCCCTCAAAAAAGTGCCATTTCCACGTTTTGTTTTTTTTGTTTTTTTTTTCAAGTAAAAGGTTTGTACTGCTTAATTCCCTCTTTTGGTGCTTGATATAATGATTTGTTTATCTGAAGTCAGACTTCTGATAGCCTGATCCTTTGTAATCCTTGAAGTAAACTAGAAAGAATCATCAATAGATTTAAAATCCACTGTTCAGGACCATGGCAGGAAACCATGGTCTTTATGACGTTCATTTATAAACTCTTAGCACCTATCTCTCAGCAAATTAAGTCTGCTACTCCACAAGCAGACTGGAATCTGCAAACTCCAAAGAGTGGATAAAGGGGCTCATCAAAGGCAGAAATCAAAATAGAAGAAATATGAAATTACATTGGCAAGTAGCAGGGAAAAATAGGTAGAACTGTTACTATGCTGCAAATTTATCTTCTCAGTGTTGGTGCTCTTGAGCTTCATGAAACAAAGCTCCTTTTTCTTTTTAAGAAAGAAGGAATAAGGAAAAATATATTCTTTTTAAGTTCTTAAATAAGTTTTATTAAGTAAACTTGTAAATAACTTCTTTACTAATACTGAATATATTTTATGAGGGTACAGTGTGGAGGGGTCCTTAAATACATAAGCTAAATGTGTGTAAACAAAGTACAACTTTTATTTTTCTTTCATCAGACTTTCCTGTTTGTGTTGCCCTGCGAGGTCATTAAGAATAAGGATTTTATTTTTATTTGAACTATCATTTTCCATGCTATTTCTCTTTTGAGATATTTCGGATTGTTTTCTTAACAATGGCACACTTCAGAAAAAGTTTCAGAGTTGTATTCAAGATAAATAATTGTATTTTCCCTTTAATCTTACAGAGAATCTTCTGAGGCTCCAATCACTTTTGATACAGATGCCTTTCTTAATTATTTTGATAAAATTTTAGGTGAGTTACACTATAATGTTTATACTCATTTTGAAATTGTATGGAGTATGGTTAGAACCTGCTTTCTCTTTGTGGTTTTGAGTTGCTTTCAACCATTAATGAGATCCCTGGAATGATCTTAAAAGGATACTTAGTAGTGGAAAAAGTAGCTGCTAATTACACATTTTTTTCCCTACTGAGTGAATGAATGATATGAATGTGTGGTAAGGGTTTTACTTTGGCTCCTTATTGCATTTTTTTCTTTCATGTTTACTACGTGTACAAATCAAAAAATAGGACAGAACCTCAATAAAAAATCAACATGGAGGCTGTGGAGATAGCTCAGTGGTTAAGTGCCTGCCTAGGCAAGCACAAGGACCAGGGTTTGATCCCCAATACCACATTGCCATGCCAGCCCTGCCCTGGGTGCGCTGAGCCAGCCACCAAGACTGGGCGTAGTGGCGCATGCCTGTAATCCCATCACTGGGGAGGCTGAAACAGGAGGACCATTGTGAGCCCGAGTTGCATAGTGAGACCCTGTACCAAGTACACGTGCACACACACGATTAATGCAGCACAAGAATAGGCAGTGCACTAAGGAAGAAATAGAAATACTGGCAGTAAATGTTTGGAAATAGTTAGCTCTTTCTAGTAAGCAAGTAAATACATAATAAAAGCATAGACTTTTTGCCTGTCTATTGGAGTGTGTGTGTGTGTGTGTGTGTGTGTGTGTGCATGAGGCCCTGAAAAAATTGTAAAGATTAATAAAAATCAGTTTTGTTTAACAGTTGAAAAAATGCTAACTTTCAGCCTGGTATATAGCTCAGCAGTGCAACACCTGCCTGGCAAGCATAAGGTCCTGAGTTCAATGCCTAGTGACTGCCCGTTAAAAAGAAAAATACACTTCGGGGATGGAAGTATTGTTTGTTATGGGAGAGTTTGGCACTCTGCAATGCTCATAGTTTTTTACTTAGCAGTGTTATATCCAGAGATTTACTCTGTGAGAAAGATAAATATGCTTAGATGGTCATTAGTGTTGTAGTAAGCAAAAATTAGAATTATCATAAATGTTCCTCAAGAAAGAAATGGTTAAATCATTATATATATGTATTATAAAATCTACTTAGCATAATAAAGTGTGAAGTCCCTCCATTGTTGTTTTTACTTTTATTTTTAATGTATTTGGTTCAGTGTCTCATTCTGCAGCTTGGACTCATTGTGACTTCCTGTTTTCAGCCTCCTCAGTGCTGGGATTAAAGGTGTGTGCCACCATATCTGATCTTGGTGGCCAACTCAGCATGCCTAGGGGTGGGGCTGGCACAGCCTGTGGTGCCAGGGATTAAACTCTGTTCCTTGCACTTGCCTAAGTAGGCGTTTAGTCTGCTGAGCTATCTCGCTGGCCCTAGTCCCTCCATATTCTAACAAAGCCCTCAAAACATAAATAGGAAAGTAAATTGCAATGTTAACATCTGTGTAAAAAAAGAAACTGTGGGGGCCGGGGAGATGGCTCAGTGGAATAAGCGCTTCCCTGGCAAGCGCAACGGCCTGAGCTCAATCCCCAGTTCCGCAAAAAACAACAACAACAACAACAAAAAAAAAAACAAAAAACAAAACTGGAATTATATATGTGTATGTATAGAACAGCATAAAGTATGGCTAGATATTACACTGTTTGAAGATATTTCTTAGAGTGAGCTATAAGAATACTTTTGTATGACTTGAATGTTTACATCAAGATATATTAAGTAGCATGTACCTGTGATCTCAGCATTTTGGAGGCTGAGGCAGGAGGACTATCTGGAGTTTGAGACCAGCCTGGGCTTTGTAGTGAATTCAAAGCTAAACTGAACTACGTGGTGAAACCCTATCTCCTACATAGTGAGACCTTGTCTCAACAAACATCATAGAAAAAAAAAAAAGATATATTAATTATATAATTATTTAGCCAGCCCCCCCTCCCCGCCCCATCCCTCCATGTGGAGGATCAAACTCAGGTCTTTGCTTTGTGTTTTAACAAAAAACTTTGGGTTCATCCATTCATGGTGGGACACCTGTAATTTAACCCTATCTCCTACATAGTGAGACCTTGTCTCAACAAACATCATATAGAAAAAAAAAAGATATATTAATTATATAATTATTTAGCCAGCCCCCCCTCCCCGCCCCATCCCTCCATGTGGAGGATCAAACTCAGGTCTTTGCTTTGTGTTTTAACAAAAAACTTTGGGTTCATCCATTCATGGTGGGACACCTGTAATTTTACCACCTGTGGAGGCTGAGGCAGGAGGATCACAAGTTTGGGCCTAGCCTTGGCAATTTAGTGGTTTCATGAGACCCTGTCTCAAACAACAACAAAAACCCAAGGTTGGGGCTGGGAATATAGTTGGTAGAAAGGCCTTGGGTTCAATTCCCAGTACCACCACCAAAAAAATTCATTCAGCTGGCCTGGCTTTTTATGTAAGTGCTGTTAGCGTTACTATTTTCTTTTCTTTCTTTCTTTTTTGCATTTAGTACAGGGTCTACAAGGTCTCACTATACCGACTGGACTTGTAGTGATCTTCCTGTTTTCAGCCTCCCAAGCGCTGGGATTACAAGCGCGCACAACCACACCCAGTCTCATTTGCCATCTCAGCACGCCCTAGGGGTGGGGCCAGCACAGCTGGGGATCAAACCCCAGTCCCTGCTCTTGCCTAAGCAGGCACTTTAGTCCACTGAGCTATCTGGCCAGCCCGAGCCTTACTATTTCTTGAAGAGATTTTTGTGAAGTAGTTTGACTGCCTTTATTGGCTACTTCCTGTGCGAAATATTCTAATTCTTTTGAAAAGGGAGAAAATCACTCAAAAAAATTTATAAGTGACTCTTCTTATTTTGGGGTCTACATACAGGACCGAAGACTCAGGCATCAGACTCTGATGATCTGGATGAGGATGACTTTGAATGTTTAGACAGTGATGATGAGGTGGACCTCGAAACTCAGGAACCTGGTGAAGAAGCTTCTCTGAAAGGAGCTCTTGACAGCCTCAAGTCATACATGGCCCAAATGGACCAGGAGCTGGCACATACCAGCATGGGCAAAAGTTTTACCACTAGCAAGCAAGTGGTGAGTGTTTGTAATCTCTTTCCCTTTCCAGTCTATCATGTAGAGTGGCTAGGGTCATATTTTGTCTAAGGTTTTCTTTTCTTTTCTTTTTTAAATTTATGAGCTTGGAAGTAAGATTGCTATTTTTGTTGTTGTTAATATAGTCTGGGATGGAACTGAGAGACCTGTACATGGTGGACATGCACTACCTCTGAGCTGTGTTCCCAGATGTAAGCATGCTGAGTTTTTACTTAGGATGATGATGTAAGCAAAGTGGCGCATGCTCTGTTCCCAGCCACTCAGAAGGCTAAGGCTGGAAGATCACCTGAGCCTAAGAGCTGGAGGCCATCTGGGCAACAGTGAGACCTGGTCTCAAAAAGGGGGGGCTCCTGTAGTGTAGCTCAGTGTAAAACGGGCTTCACATAAATGAGGCCTATGGTTCAATCTTCATCACCAGGGCAAAAAGGTTAATAAACTTTAGTTTCTAAGCATAAACTGAATTGTATTACCTGTCTTGTGATACCTATAAAGGACCATATAGTAGGCTCAAATTAATATGTGGTTATACACTATTACTGCCACAATAAATGGATTTTGAAGTAGAGAATCTTAAATGCCCAAATAATTGCAAGTCTCAGTAGTTTTACATATTTTTCTAATATAGAACCAAATACAGAATTCCATTTTCTCTCTCTCCCTCCGTCCACCCCCCTCTCTTTCTCTCTCTTCATGGTTTACAGGGTCTCACTACATAGATTGGTCTCATAGTGATCCCCAAGTGCTGGGATTATAGGCGTGCACCACCACAACCAGTTGCAGTAGCTGTCTCAGTGCCAGCACAGCATACCAGAGATCGAAGCTGGGTCCCTGCATAGGCAGGCACTTTAATCCATTGAACTATCTGGCCAGCCCTCCTTTTTGACTTAGTTTTTTTTACCCTAGTTTTTATGCCAATGCTATTTATCTCTAAAAAGAGATATTATGTAAAGAACATGAACCCCAGAGTTTCATTGGATTGGTTTGAAATCCACCTCAGCCATCCATTGTGAATGTATCCATTAATCACTAATCCTCTTGTCATAGAGTTAACAATGAGAACCAAAGGAGACAATGTAAAACCAGTTTATAATAGGCTTCCTAATTAATGTTAATTCTCCTTGCTTTCATTATCTAAACCCCACTTAAAACTAATCATTTTCAGCATTGCCAACCCTTACTAGAAACCACACATTAGATTAAGTTAAAGGAATATATCTTAGATTTCTTTGGGAATATAAATCACCTAAGGCTCTTGTTTAAGCAAGTCTAAGGGGAAGCCTCAGATTCTGTGTTTAGGGGCTGGGGAGATGGCTCAGTAGAGTGCCAAGGCCTGAGTTCAATCCCCAGTTCCAAAAAAACCCCTCACAACTGAGATTCTGTGTCTAGCAAGACTAGAAGATGCAGGTGCTGCTGCTCCACACACAGACTGTGCTTTGATTCCAGTCATATAAACGTGTGAAGATCCGCCTGCAGCCGTCCAGATCCTCTCCCCAGCCTGTGACACCTGAGGCCAGGTAGCAGCTCAGTCTTTGTGGTTGCACCCTACAAAGCCTTAGTTCTTACTTTTTCACTGCAGAAGAAAAAGAAATCTAGTGTCTTACATTTAGAAAAATATGCAGGATTCTTGTGGGGTTTTTTAATGTCTGTTTTTATGTTTCTTTTTTTTAAGAGTCAAGCAGACTATGGGGGCTGGGAAGATAGCTCAGAGGTGAAAGCACCTACCTGGCAAGCACACCATGCCAGCCCTGGGTGGCACATGCTTGGGAGCTACAAAAGTGAGCACAAGGCCAGCCCAAACTGCAGAGCAAGACACTATCTCAAATAGATACATACATACATAAAGTGAAGCAAACTATGTCTTTAATTCTTGTGATTTCTCCTTGGGGCTATTTCAAAATCAGGATAAAAGCATTCGATTTATAGTAATTTTTCCTAGAACAAAGTGTGTTATAATCTTTAGAGGTAACTTTTTTGTCTTTGAGACAAAGTTTTGCTATGCAGATCTAGCTAGGCTTGAACTGACTTTGTAGCCCCTCAAATGCACAGCAATCCTCCTGCCTCAGCTTCTTGAGTGCTGGGATTACAGGCATGTGCCACCATGCCTGGCAGTGGCAGTGACTTTTAATATATTACAAAAGTTTATTAGATTTCATTTTTATGTCACAAAGGATATAAAAGTTTTAAGTTTTATAGCTCAGCGGACTAAAGCGCTTGCTTAGGCTGAGTGCAGTGGCCAGGGTTTGATCCTTGGTAGGCCATGCTGGCCCCGCCCCCAGGGCATGCTAAGGCAGCTTTTGAGACTGGCTGTGGTGGCACGCACCTGTAATCCCAGCATTGGGAGGCTGAAAACAGGAGGATCACTACAAGTCTGATCTACATAGTTAGACTCTGTAGACCCTGTACCAAACACATTAAAAAAAAAAAAAAAGTTTGTTTTAATTTGCAATTCCTATGTACATTGCTGCCTATAGCTTTTTATTATACTGCTATCTAGTCTGAAGGGATATAATTCTTAGATTTTCCTTTTCCTCTAGAATAAGAAGCCTTCATCTCAGACTACCAATAACAATTCAGATGAGGAAGATTCTGGTGCCAGAGATTCTGTTCTGGCCCCAGTGGATGTAGACCTGAACCTGGTTTCAAATATATTGGAATCCTACAGCTCCCAAGCTGGCCTGGCAGGGCCCGCCTCAAATCTCTTACAGAGCATGGGAGTGCAGCTGCCGGACAACAGTGATCACAGAGCCTCCCAAAAGCCAGTGAAAGATTAGCTGACTAATCTAGCTGTTTTCCTCTTTAAATAAACAATGAGTCTGAGTGAAATCATTTTGGTTTGGGATTATTCATTCAACAAAAGTGTTTCTTCATTGTGAGTTTCATAGGTTGTCCTTTCCCTAGTCCCAAATCTTGTCCTCTCTCCACAATTCTTTGTGATCTTAACACAGGTATACTGAAATTCTGAAATCAGCAGGATAGGATCAAGCTGCAGGACAGCCTCTGAGACAAGGAGATTGAGATATTCTAAGTACATTTAACTACAGTTCAAAATTCCGTGTTGGCAAAATTTCAACTTACTTTTTTCTAAACTTTTTT